GGTGGAGAGACAGACTGTTGCGGTACGGTTGGGTGGAGAGACAGACTGTTGCGGTACGGTTGGGTGGAGAGACAGACTGTTGCGGTACGGTTGGGTGGAGAGACAGACTGTTGCGGTACGGTTGGGTGGAGAGACAGACTGTTGCGGTACGGTTGGGTGGAGAGACAGACTGTTGCGGTACGGTTGGGTGGAGAGACAGACTGTTGCGGTACGGTTGGGTGGAGAGACAGACTGTTGCGGTACGGTTGGGTGGAGAGACAGACTGTTGCGGTACGGTTGGGTGGAGAGATTTCTGTTAACAGACGTGTAATGTATGTCACGCTTCATTTGAAAGTCGACGCTCAAAATAAGGTCTACTGTTTTGATGTGAATGCTTCAATGTTTTTAAATATATGAAGTTACTGAAAGTCATTTACCTCTGCTGTCTTGCGGTATGGTTGGTTGGAGAGATGTCTGAGACAAAATGAATCACATGTTACCATTAACAGATGTCTAATATATGTCAGACTTCATTTGAAAGTTCCGGCTCAAAAGTATGATACTACAAAATAAGGTCCACTGTTTCGATGTGAATGCTTCAATGTTTTTAAATACTATCAAGTTACTGTAGGCCATTTACCTCTGCTCTGTGACACTTCCAGGTGAGCTTATTGGAGAAACTTCTGTGAGACAAAATGAATCACGTTAACAGTAACAGACGTATAATGTATGTCACACTTAATTTGAAAGTTCTGATTCCAAAAGTATGGCCCAATTCCAAATCAACCCCTAGACCCCTCAAACTCAACTCTGGAACTCGAAGTCAGTTCCACTGCATTTCTTCATTGTTCCCCTCTAATCAGGGATGGATTTAGACCTGGGAAACAAGGTGTGTACAATTAATTATCAGGTAGAGCAGAAAACCAGCAGGCTCCGACCCTGGTAGGGTAAGAGTTGTATACCCCTGCCCTAGACACTACTCCCTATGAATTTGAGGAGATCTGAGAGGATTGGAAGGTGTAAGCAATTTGGAAATAATTCCAATTAGCCCTCTGAAAGGCTAGGTGGAAGTTTCACCATATTGTTTAGACCCATCAAATCATCTCAGATCTCCACAAGTGCATAGGGTATAGGGGTCCATTTGGGATTGGGCCTATGACAACAACATAAGGTACATTGTTTCGATGTGAATGCTTCAATGCTATTAAGTTACTGTAAACCATTTACCTTAGAGGTTAAGTAGGTGTTCCCAAGTGGTGGTGTCCCACAATTGCTCCATCTGTAAAAAAGGAAAAACAGTCGCCAAGAGATTAGATAAGCGGACTAGTAGCTGTAGGAGCGATCCATTTTCGTGAACGAGGTGGTGTACCTAATAAACTGTCCGGTGAGTGTACATTGTAGTAGTAAAGCAAACCTGCTCACTTTTAACTAGTAGACATCTGGACAAAATGGAGCTGCAAATGAGACAAAGAATCAGAAACCGATTAATCACTTAGTAAATGTATTGTTTTCTCATGCACTTATCAACTCTGTAGTGGCCTTCTGTTAAACTGCTTCAAATACAAGGTAGAGAATTACAGTGACTAGAAGATAACTCACATGGTGCAGGTGGGGAAACTGTCCAAGCAAGCTTAAAGTAAAAGAGAAAGTGATGTTAAATGAATAAATGTCTATATAAATTAAACTTTTTATTCAATTGTGACCAATTTAATTAATAACTCATGTGATTCAGTGGAAATAATGTGATATACAATTGTTTTTAAAGCTCTCTTTACTATTTAATTGCAATCACTTTCTTATTTACATGACGGGTCATGTGACCTGGTTACCATCGTCAAGTACTAGCCAAGTAGCCTAGTCATTCAATAAATCAAATCTATCGTCATCCGTTTCAAAATACTCAAAAATTATAACCCAATTTATGACATAGCAAGAGGGTTATCAGACCTCATATTTGTCAATATCCATGGAAATACGTTTTTAAAGTTGTTTATGGTCAGACCTAGCTAGCAGCCAATGCAGCTGGAGAACATGATAGCTAAGCTAGCTAACTTACGCATAAAAAAGAAAAAATCTGCCTACACAACAGGTAAAGAAATACTGTAACTATGCTACCCCCTAACATGTTCATATAAAAACACTGAACCAAAATATAAATGCAACATGTTGGTCCTATGTTTCATGAACTGAAATTAAACATCCCAGAAATCTTCCATACGCACAAAAAGCTTATTTATTTAAAATGTTTTGCACAAAAGCATTTCTCCTTTGCCAAGATAATCCATCCACCTGATCATTACACAGGTGCACCTTGTTCTGGGGACAATAAAAAGCCACTCTAAAATGTGCAGTTTTGTCACACAACACAATGCCACAGATGTCTCAAGTTTTGATGGAGCGTGCAATTGGAATGCTGACTGCAGCAATGTCCACAAGAGCTGTTACCAGATAATTTAATGATAATTTCTCTACCATAAGCTGCCTCCAACATCGTTTTAGAGAATTTGGCATTACCTCCAACCGGCCTCACAACCCCAGACCACGTGTAACCACGCCAGCCCAGGACCTCCACATCCGGCTTCTTTACCTGCGGCATCGTCTGAGGGGGGGTGCTGAGGAGTATTTCTGCCCAGTCATGTGAAATCCATAGATTAGGGCCTAATGAATTTGTTTCAATTGACTGATTTCCTTATATGAACTGTAACTCAGTAAAATCTTTGAAATTGTTGCATGTTGCGTTTATATTTTTTACAGTTTAGATGGACAGACACAGCCTTTGTATAGACACATGCGCTCTGTCGGGTTGTAAAATTATTACCTACACATAGCTGAGGAATACAGAAATTCAGAGAGGACATGTGAATTTAAAAATCATGACTTCTCTTATAATCACATTAGAGGATCTGGAGGTGTGGCCTTAAATTAGCTCGGTTTGGACAGACCGTGGGTAAAAGTGTCATGCCAGTTAATCTATAATGCTGTACTCTATTAATAAAGGTTAGGCATGTCAACTGCTAGTTCTTCAGTCATAATGCAACTGAAATAAGTGTGTGACACCAAAGAGCCAACTAGAGTTCCATTGTTAAGACAGTCAACATTTTGTTACAATATTTAGATTTACAGTGGATGAGCATCGTTCCTGACAGGCTGACCAGATTCAATTTCATCTTTAATAATATATTGGTACAGGTAAGCATTTTCAGAAATGACATTTATACAACTTGTATAAGAGAGCAGAGTTGAGCGTTCCACAGCTACCCTACACAGTACACTATAGGCTAAAGATAATCTCCAAATGAACCCAAACAAACTCAAGAGACCCGTGTCACTGCGCAACAGTCTGCTCTGTCACATAATGTCGAACTGCATTAACCTTAATTTAGGCAGGGTGGAGTCCAATTGAGACCAAGCCCACTGGGCACACACTGGTTGAATCAACGTTATTTCCACGTAATTTCAATTAAGTTAATTGACGTCTGTGCCAAGTGGGAGGTCTCTTTTACAAGGGAACCCTGTATGACAAACATAGGATTCTGTGTAAAACTCAATTTACTATGGGCAATTGGTAGCCAGGTCCCTCCCCTCTGACCTTCTCCTCCAATGGGTTTTGAGGAGGCAAGGAGGGAGGACACGAGGAGTTGCAATTGAGATGCTCCCTATACATTTATAGATATAGAGATTAAGTAATAACGCTGACCCTAGTGAGACGTGACCGACCCCTCGTCAACCCACGTAGGTAAGTGGGTTTGCTGTAACATACCTGTATGTCCCTTTAATATGCATTATAGACATAAACATTGTCATTGTGTACTTACTAATAATATTTAGCCTTTTTTCAAATTCAATTGAAATTCCAACAATTAAAAATAAATCATAGATAATAGATAGTCAAATGAGAAGGAAAACCAGCTCAAAAGGAAGCCTGTTCTACAGGTTCAATATATTCATGCAAGGCAAACGATTAAAAAAAACAAGAGCATTAATTATTTTATGAACCCCATGAGTATCTTTTAAAGCTTTCTACATCTCTCCTCGTCAACTTTTGCCTGGTTTGAACATCAACACACAACGCCAAACAGATCACCAGAGACGTTCAACTTTCAAGGCTCGAGTCCCTCATACAGGGCCTACAGTTCTACATTTACATTTACATTTTAGTCATTTAGCAGACGCTCTTATCCAGAGCGACTTACAGTTAGTGAGTGCATACATAATTTTTTTCATACTGGCCCCCCGTGAGAAACGAACCCACAACCCTGGCGTTGCAAACGCCATGCTCTACCAATTGAGCTACATCCCTGCCGGCCATTCCCTCCCCTACCCTGGGCCAATTCTATCAATGTACATTTAATAGACCTTAATTTACAGCAACTTGAAATAGTACAGTACCTGCTACTAGTTTCATCTGGATTGTCGTCTAGCACAGTTACCCTCTGGCTAAAATATAAGGTTATGACTTTTTATATACTTCCAATAACCAGTGTTGTCCAGCTCTTTGGGGCTATTAGTGCCTCTTTTTGTGACATATCATCAACACTTAGTCACTTTAACTGTCTTTAAATAGCCTCAAGCTGCAAGAGAAAAGGTTTCTAACAAGTAGTTGTGCATAAATGCATTAAGCTACCTAAAAATACCATCCTGCCTGGTTGGTATGCCCTGGCAGTCTTGTGAGTTTTGCAGTTATTAGTTGCATAGACCCCAAGCCAAGTCTGTCTCTACTAAGAGATTTGTCCATTTGTGCGCTAAGAAAACTGAGCTTCGCAGCGATGCTCAAAAGTGCATAGTTAAGGAGACGAGAAATGTAGACAAAATGTGACCATTTCTCTATAGGAGAAGAGCCGTTTGTAATCTGATTGTCATGACGACAGTCTGAATACATGGTCAGCCGAGGAAGGTTTAGTTGTCAGCAGTAAGGTAACCAGTTTGGTTGATTGTCAGAACTAATGGTTGTCAAAGCTATTGTAATAATGTACACAGCTTAGATACATCAGCAGTAATGTTGTCATGGTAACAGCGGCCTGTCACTCGTCACTGAAGCGCAGTCTCTGGAAGGCCTCTTTGATGTCCTCGTTAGTGTCTTTGCTGCTCATGGAGCCCATTCGGAGGACCCGGCTGTCGGGGACGTCTTGTTTCAGCTTGCGCTTGCTGAGGACCACCGTACCCTCGGCCCCCTCCCCCTCGGGCCCCGTAAGCAGGATGTAGCAGGCGTGACGCCCCCGCTCCAACAGGGTGGCTGGTACAGGCAGGAAACACATAGACAACAAGTCATTTACCACACAGAGAACAGTCATTATCCGGAAGTACAGTAGACTAGGGCCCGGTTTCCCGATGGCAATGGAACTTAGGCTTACGAATGTTTTAACGGATGTGTCGTAAAAGATGACACACCCGTTTCCCAAAACACCACGCAGCACACTCGTTACAAAGTGAAACTTAACTGTGTCGTTACTGGAGCTGTCCAGTGCTGAAAACGATTCCAGAATATATAGGCTAAAGAGCTCCCTGTACCTCTTAAATGTATGTCATCTTTTTTATACAATACAGTTTTCCCATCAAGATAATACATGTTCTGTAGCCTATTATTCATGTGGGTTTTCCATGTGTTATGTATTCTAAGTGTTTTCTAGTGCTATTTTGTATGCAATGTTTATGTACATTTTGCATTTCTTCAGTTTGTGTCAACTGTGAGCAAGAATGAATTGAGCCAAAGTCGTTCGCTGTTTAGAAAATATCAACGTGACCTAAAAATAGGATCATGATTTTCGTAATTGCTCGACAAATCATCGTAGCCTAATGGCAGGCAGGTATTGAGCTTTAAGTAGGCCTATAGATATTCTAAAATTCTATAATTAAACTTGAAGTAGCCTAGCCTAGGCTACAAGTTAAGCGACGTTGCCATTTACCCAATATGTTGATCTTTAGGTTATTGGTTAAGCGATAGTGAAATGCGTGAGCTTTGAGATAATAGTAGCCTATAGGCTACAAATATTGAATCGGCTTAGTACTTGGTAGGTCTATCGATTGCACATACATGAAAGTGATGTCAATATGTAGCCTTTTTGAAATGGTGCCGGAGGGAATGGCTGCTGTTTTATGGGTTCTTAACTAACCGTTTCTATTTTGTTTGTTTTTTTCGCATTGTTTCTAACTTATTTTGTACATAATGTTGCTGCTACCGTCTATTATGACCGAAAATAGCTTCTGGACATCAGAACAGCGATTACTCACCTTGAATAATTTTTCTTTAACGAGTCGGACGACAGGGATTTCCCCCAGACACCCGACAGGGTCCTCATCCCCGTCATTCACAGGGGGAAGAGACAGAGATATCTTGGAAGGAGATCGGGGTGCCTGATAAGGCTAATCTGCCTTTGCCATCGGTACTATTGGCCAACATACAATCGCTGGATAATAAAGTGGACAAACTAACAGCACGTATATCCTACCAACGGGACACTAAAAACTGTAATATCTTATGTTTCACCGAGTCTTGGCACGAAGACATGAATAACATACAGCTGGTGGGTTATACACTGTATCGGCAGGATAGAACAGCAGCCTCTGGTAAGACAAGGGGTGAAAGTCTATGTATATTTGTAAACAACAGCTGGTGCACGATATGTAAGGAAGTCTCGAGGTTTTGCTCGCCTGAGGTAGAGTATATCATGATAAGCTGTAGACCACACTATCTACCAAGAGTGTTTTCATCTATATTCTTCGTAGCCGTCTATTTACCACCACAAACCGATGCTGACACTAAGACCGCACTCAATGAACTGTATACGGCCATAAGCAAACAGGAAAACGCTCATCCAGAGGTGGCGTTCCTAGTGGCCCGGGGACTTTAATGCAGGGAAACTTAAATCCGTTTTACCTAACTTCTACCAGCATGTTAAATGTGCAACCAGAGGGAAAAAAGGAGTACACCACATCAGTCATTGGCTTCATCAATAACTGCACAGTGACTGTACATACATACCCCAACCAGAAGCCATGGATTACAGGCAACATCCGCACTGAGCTAAAGGGTAGAGCTGCCGCTTTCAAGGAGCGGGACTCTAACCCGGAAGCTTATAAGAAATCCCGCTATGCCCTCCGACGAACCATCAAACAGGCAAAGCGTCAATACAGGACTAAGATCAAATCGTACTACACCGGCTCCGATGCTCGTCGGATGTGGTAGGGCTTGCAAACTATTACAGACTACAAAAGGGAAGCACAGCCGTGAGCTGCCCAGTGACACGAGCCTACCAGACGAGCTAAATTACTTCTATGCTCGCGTCGAGGCAAATAACATTGAAACATGCATGAGAGCATCAGCTGTTCCGGAAGAGTGTGTGATCACACTCTCATTAGCCGATGTGAGTAAGACCTTTAAACAGGTCAACATTCACAAGGCCGCAGGGCCAGACGGATTACCAGGACGTGTACTCCGAGCATGCGCTGACCAACTGGAAAGTATCTTCACTGACATTTTCAACCTCTCCCTGTCTGAGTCTGTAATACCAACATGTTTCAAGCAGACCACCATAGTCCCTGTGCCCAAGAACACTAAGGTAACCTGCCTAAATGACTACCGACCCGTAGCACTCACGTCTGTAGCCATGAAGTGCTTTGAAAGGCTGGTCATGGCTCACATCAACACCATTATCCCAGAAACCCTAGACCCACTCCAAAATTGCATACCGCCCCAACAGATCCACAGATGATGCAATCTCTATTGCACTCCACACTGCCCTTTCACACCTGGACAAAAGGAACACCTATGTGAGAATGCTATTCATTGACTACAGCTCAGCGTTCAACACCATAGTGCCCTCAAAGCTCACCACCAAGCTAAGGACCCTGGGACTAAACACCTCCCTCTGCAACTGGATCCTGGACTTCCTGATGGGCCGCCCCCAAGTGGTAAAGGTAGGTAACAACACATCCGCCACGCTGATCCTCAACACGGGGGCCCCTCAGGGGTGGGTGCTCAGTCCCTTCCTGTACAACGACGAGACAGCCTATAGGGAGGAGGTCAGAGACCTGGCCGTGTGGTGCCAGGACAACAACCTCTCCCTCAACGTGATCAAGACTAAGGAGATGATTGTGGACTACAGGAAAAAGAGGACAGAGCACGCCCCCATTCTCATCGACGGGGCTGTAGTGGAGCAGGTTGAGAGCTTCAAGTTCCTTGGTGTCCACATCACCAACAAACTAACATGGTCCAAGCACACCAAGACTGTCGTGAAGAGGGCACGACAAAACCTATTCCCTCTCAGGAGACTGAAAAGATTTGGCATAGGTCCTCAGATCCTCAAAAGGTTCTACAGCTGCACCATCGAGAGCATCCTGACTGGTTGCATCACTGCCTGGTATGGCAACTGCTCGGCCTCCGACCGCAAGGCACTACAGAGGGTAGTGCGTACGGCCCAGTACATCACTGGGGCCAAGCTTCCTGCCATCCAGGGCCTCTATACCAGGCAGTGTCAGAGGAAAGCCCTAAACATTTTCAAAGACTCCAGCCACCCTAGTCATTGACTGTTCTCTTTGCTACCGCACGGCAAGCGGTACCGGAGCGCCAAGTCTAGGTCCAAGAGGCTTCTTAACAGCTTCTACCCCCAAGCCATAAGACTCCTGAAAAGTCACTTTAATAACTCTACCTACATGTACATATTACCTCAATTACCTCGACTAACCTGTGCCCCCGCACATAGACTCTGTGCCGGTACCCCCTGTATATAGCCTCGCTATTGTTATTTTACTATTGTTATTATACTGCTGCTCTTTAATTATTTGTTACTTTTTTTTGGGGGGGGGGGGGGGGGGGGGGTATTCCTTCTTAAAACTGCATTGTTGGTTAAGGGCTTGTAAGTAAGCATTTCACTGTAAGGTCTACACCTGTTGTATTCGGCGCATGTGACAAATAAAATGTTATTTGATTTAATCTAGCCATCATATAATTTGGTTTTAATTTTTTTATGTATCCTTGCTTTGCTTGTTTATAACATTGCAAACTTTTTAGGCTAATTATATTCAACTATTAAGTTTTAGGCGGTCACAGAGAGACATCTTCCTTCTATGTTTATTGGAGATCTTCTGTGTTTAAAGTCAAGCGGGAGGGCAAACGGTGATCTAATGACGCACTTCTACGAGTGGTCTAAGGCAGGCGTTAGATAATGAGCGTTTTCAAGTGCAACGTTAATAAAGACGGTTTTGGGAAACATCTTGGAAGTGTTAAGATGTTCTTACGTAGGTTCTAACAATGAAATTAGCCTTAAGATGCTTTTGGGAAACCGGGCCTAGGGCGGTGTCTGAAAACTTTACTAGCTGTCAAATCCTTGCATCCACAGTCCTTTTTTCCTCAATTCCTCACCTCCCTCTCAAAGAGTATTGGAGTAGAGGATCGAAGGTCCCTCCCTCAGACCTCCAATGAGCATTTGTGAGGGAGGTGAGGTAGTAACGTTGTCAGACAACCTAGATATAGACGGTTAATTTGTTCCCCATAATAATATTGTTTTGCTAAAGCATGTAACTCACCTTTAAATGCGATGATGTGGTCTATGATGTTGCTCTTCTCCAGGAGAACTGTGGAGTAGAGGGGGTGCATCATGTAGGAGTGCCGCTCCTTACTCAAATCGCTCTGGAGGAAAGCATTCATTTAGAAACAGGTCAGAATGTCTAGAGAACAACACTATGACTGATGTGAATGTGATTGACCACGGTTCAAACCCTGCATGCCACAAGACTGTGCTAGCCCACTGAGCTGAAGCCTAGTCATTAGCTCAGGAAGCTAAGACAAGTCTTCAGATTCTCAGTCAAGGTTACATGAACACAGAGTAAGATGTAACGACATGGAGATCAGTAAATTATCTGTTCTCATAAATTCACTGTGAAGTCAATGTACTCACTGTGGAATTGGCCTCTGAAGGCATCACCCCCCAGAACATGAACACAGAGAAGGAGTTGATGGTGTTGACCGAAGCTGGCTTGGGTGAGTTGGGACTGGCCAGTAGGATGACCTCCCATAGCGTTCCCCCAGTGTTTCCATCCAGGATCACCACCTACCATTCACACAGACCATGGATGGATGTCACATTCAATTCAAATACTGCAGGAGTGGAAAAACATGACATACTCAGCAGATAAGCTGAATATATTCCAACGCTTCCAAGCTGGTCCCAACTTACCCTTTTAATGCCGTTACCAATTTCCTCCTCGATCACTATGTCTGGTGTCCCATCTTTGTTAAAGTGGCCAAATGAAGGCTCACTGAGTGGAGAGGAGAAACTTACTTAAAACCCTCCCATTCAGTAGATGTCATTGGCTCAAATACATTGGTTATCACGGTTGTCATTAGATAAGAAATTCAGAGCGTGGTAATTTACTACAAATGTCAAGGAATACAAGGAGGTTGTTAGTCCTGATAAGCCCATTCAATACTGTGTATCGAGTAAGCTCCCTAACAATGTTAACTAGCTAACCAATCAGTGTGTCGGGTGATGTCGTTTTTTTACCTGAGGATTGTGCTGATGTTGACCCTCCACAGTGAGTTGAGACTGTTGCCATCCATCAGCTCCACACTGCCCCCAGTGACCAGTAGCAGGTTGGAGAGACCCTCTGCCTTTCCTGTCATCAACACATGTCTCAATGACCCAGACCTGCAGAGGAGGAATGACCATCAAAGGAAAGCCTCAATGTTAGCATTAGCAATTCATTTCTGTCCATGGTCCAGGTTATTGGACATAGGAAATGATCATTTAACCACTAAACAGTTGCAATATTGGTGTTACGTTTGCCCCCAAGTTGTGATATCCGGAGGCATCGTGAGAATTGTGTATTAGCATCTACCTGCTGCTCTTACTCATAGATTGGTACAAGGCCAGAGGAGTCATTGGCTTTGCTCTCCCAGTGCTTGTCCTTCTTAAGGCCTTTCTCCATGCCTGCCTTAGCCTGGGCTGCAATCCTCCACAGGGCCAGGCCATACAACCCTGAGTCTGGGGAGAGGGGACAGAGGCAGTGACAATGGTTATATAACATTACACTAACATCACACTAAGAACGGCGCCGGAGGGAATGGCTGCCATTTTACAGGCTCCTAACCAATTGTGCTATTTTTCCATGTTTTTCCGCATTGTTTGTAACTTATTTTGTACATAATGTTGATGCTACCATCTCTTATGACCGAAAAGAGCTTCTGGATATCAGAACAGCGATTACTCACCTCAAACTGGACGAAGATTTTTTATTTAATGTGTCGGACACGAAGGATATAATGTTGCTCCTAGACAAGGCCCAAATCCCCATCATTCGCATGAAGAAAATAAGGAAATACAGGGGGCGGAGATCAGGGTGCCTTGTGAGAATTCGTCGGCGAGTGGGTAACCTGCCTCTACCGTCAGTTCTATTAGCCAACGTGCAAGAATAAACTGGATGAGCTCCGTTCGAGACTATCCTACCAACGGGACATTAAAAACTGTAATATCTTATGTTTCACCGAGTCGTGGCTGAACGACGACACGGATAATATATAGTTGGCTGGGTTTTCCGTGCATCGGCAGGACAAAACAGCTATGTCCGGTAAGACGAGGGGTGGGGGTGTGTGTCTATTTGTCAATAACAGCTGGTGCGCGATGTGTAATATTAAGGTAGTCTCGAGGTATTGCTCGCCTGAGGTAGAGTACCTCATGATAAGCTGTAGACCACACTATCTACCAAGAGAGTTTTCATCTATATTTTTCAGAGCCGTCTATTTACCACCACAAAACGACGAAGGCACTAAGACCGCACTCAACGAGCTGTATAAAGCAAACAAGAAAATGCTCATCCAGAAGTGGCGCTCCTAGTGGCCGGGGACTTTAATGCAGGCAAATTTAAATCAGTTTTACCTAATTTCTACCAGCGTGTCACATGTGCAACCAGAGAAAAAAATAAAACTCTAGACCACTTTTACTCCAAACACAGAGACGCGTACAAAGCTCTCCCTCCATTTGCAAATCTGACCATAATTCTATCCTCCTGATTCCTGCTTACAAGCAAAAACGAAAGCAGGAAGTACCAGTGACTCGCTCAATACGGAAGTGGTCAGACGACGCGGATACTACGCTACAGGACTGTTTTGCTAGCACAGACTGGAATATGTTCCGGGATTCATCCAATGGCATTGAGGAGTATACCACCTCAGTCACCGGCTTCATCAATAAGTGCATTGACGACGTCGTCCCCACAGTGACAGTACATACATTTCCCAACCAGAAGCCATGGATTAGAGGCAACATCCGCACCGAGCTAAATTGCCGCTTTCAAGGAGAAGGACACTAATCCAGACGCTTATAAGAAATCCCGCTATGCCCTCAGACGAACTATCAAACAGGCAAAGCGTCAATACAGGACTAAGTTCGAATCCTACTACACCGGCTCAGATGCTCGTCGGATGTGGCAGGGCTTGCAAACTATTACGGACTACAAAGTGAAACCCAGCCGCGAGCTGCCCAGTGACGCGAGCCTACCAGACAGGCTAAATGCCTTTTATGCTCGCTTCGAGGCAAGCAACACTGAAGCATGCATAAGAGCACCAGCTGTTCCGGACGACTGTGCGATCACACTCTCCGCAGCCGATGTGACCTTTATGAACAGGTCAACATTCACAAGGCTGCGGGGCCAGACGGATTACCAGGATGTGTACTCAGAGCATGCGCGGACCAACTGGCAAATGTCTTCACTGACATTTTCAACCTCTTCCTGACCGAGTCTGTAATACCTACATGTTTCAAGCAGACCACCATAGTCCCTGTGCACAAGAAAGCAAAGGTAACCTGCCTAAATGACTACAGCCCGAAGCACTCACGTCGGTAGCCATGAAGTGCTTTGAAAGGCTGGTCATGGCTCACATCAACACCATCATCCCGGAAACACTAGACCGACTCCAATTCGCATACCGCCCCAACAGATCCACAGATGACGCAATCTCAATCGCACTCCACACTGCCCTTTCCCACCTGGACAAAAGGAACACCTATGTGAGAATGCTGTTCATTGACTACAGCTCAGCGTTCAACACCATAGTGCCCACAAAGCTCATCACTAAGCTAAGGACCTTGGGACTAAACACCTCCCTCTGCAACTAGATCCTAGACATCCTGACGGGCCGCCCCCAGGTGGTAAGGGTAGGCAACAACACATCCGCCACGCTGATCCTAAACACAGGGGCCCCTCAGGGTTGCGTGCTTAGTCTCCTCCTGTACTCCCTGTTCACCCACGACTGCGTGGCCAAGCACGACTCCAACACCATCATTACGTTTGCTGACGACACAACGGTGGTAGGCCTGATCACCGACATCAATGAGACAGCCTATAGGGAGGAGGTCAGAGACCTGGCAGTGTCGTGCCAGGACAACAACCTCTCCCTTAATGTGAGCAAGACAAAGGAGATGATCGTGGACTACAGGAAAAGGAGGGCTGAACACACCCCCGTTCACATCGACGGGGCTGTAGTGGAGTGGGTCGAGAGTTTCAAGTTCCTTGGTGTCCACACCAACAAACTATCATGGTCATCACACCAAGAAAGTCTCCCTCAGGAGACTGAAAAGATTTGGCATGGGTCCCCAGATACTCAAAAAGTTATACAGCTGCACCATCGAGAGCATCCTGTCCGGTTGCATCACCGCCTGTATAGCAACTGCTCGGCATCCGACAGTAAGGCGCTACAGAGGGTAGTGCATACAGCCCAGTACATCACTGGGGCCAAGCTTCCTGCCATCCAGGACCTATACACTAGGCGGTGTCACCCAAGTCATAGACTGTCATCTCTGCTACCGCACGGCAAGCGGTACCGGAGCGCCAAGTCTAGGTCAAAAAGGCTCCTTAACAGCTTCTACGCCCAAGCCATAAGACTGCGGAACAATTAATAAAATGGCCACCCGGACTATTTGCATTGACACACCCCCCCCCCCCCCCCCCCTTTGTTTGTTTTTACACTGCTGCTACTCACTGTTTAATATCTATGCATAGTCACTTTACCCCTACCTACATTTACAAATTACCTCGACTAACCTGTATCCCTGCACATTGACTCAGTACCGGTACCCCCTGTATATAACCTCATTATTGTTATTTTATTGTCGTTTTTTTTTTTGTGTTACTTTTTTTCGTTAGTTTATTTTGTAAATATTTTCTTAACTCTATTTTCTTAAAACTGCATTGTTGGTTAAGGGCTTGTAAGTAAGCATTTTAGGATAAGGTTGTATTCGGCGCATGTGACAAATACTATTTTATTTTATTTGGATTTGAGATCAATGTGCTGTGGGCTGTTGCCAACCTGCCATATAGGACCCTTATATCAATATAGTGGGATAACTCACTGATCGGTGCACTAGGTCACATACAGTAGGACTGAAATCAATGTGTTCTATCACATAGAATGTTATGAGATCAATAGTTTGGTCAGTGAGTTATTGGCTTTTTAAATGATACACTAACAGCAGATCAAGAACTGTGTTCACTAGCATGCTGTGGTAAATGATGGCTTGCTCACCTTTCTGCAGCAGTACATAGTGGGAGCCTTTCCCTGTGGAGTGGAGGAGATGCATGGCACTCTCAGCTGTGTCCAGAACCACCTCTGAGCCAATCTGGACACCCGTCTTTCCTGAGAGGATCGCCAGCTGTGTCTAGAAAGAAAAGCATAATAATAGAACGAACTGACTTGAGGTCTTCTGTTAAAAGGTACTGGCACAGAGGTTGCCATTCTATATGTAAAGCTCACATTTTCTAACATTATTGTACAGTGTTTTAAAGCAGAAATCGAAAACATAAACCTAGTCTGAGCAGGTGTCATAAGGCACACAGCTGGTGAGTGAGTCTATCCTGAGACAACGAGGATGCCCTTCAGGTTTACCTGCGTTGGGCTGGGGGCCACCAGAGCCACGTCGCTGACCCCATCCCCATCCAGGTCTGGGACACTGAGGACTGGTAGGGTGCTGCTCAGGTTGGGAGGCTGGGGCCACGACCACGTCACCACTCCTGTACAGAAATACCAGTTATTCAGAATGCACTCACAGCTACAACCCACCTCCATTAGAAATCATTAAAAAAAATAGGAAGACAGTTTGTCCCACTTTTCTTTGAAGTGAGTCTGGTTACAAAATAGTGATGAGACACCAACCAAACTATGCAATAGTGGGATATGAAGGCACATATTTGTGCAGTATGAGAGGTGTGAGGAGAGAAAGTATGATTGCTTGAAGTGTGACGTTAGTAGAGATGGAGGTGAGTAAACGACATTCTAAGTCACTCACCAGTGTATTTGTCGATAGCAGTGAGCTGGTTGGAATGGGACAGCAGGCAGCCTCTGTCCATCTCTCCCAGCCCGTCCAGACCACAATGGGCCCAGTGGAACTCAGGGGCCAAGGGCCGCTCCCACAGAGTCTCGCCGTTGGTCCCGGCTACCGCCGACACAAACACACAAGGTGTGTCCAGACCTGGAAGACGTAAAAAGCACACCTGAATCTCACAGACACTACAGGTTTTACAATGACACAGCAGACACGATATGGCGTAGAACAATTACAGTAGGTTCATTAGTAGGAAAAAGGTAACAGTATCTTTGTATTGAGGAAACTTGTCTAGCCTGTCTTCTAGAAATCTTTGGCTGGCAGCCTCTACTTTAACTGGACTCTCAGTGAAACCATTCTACAAAAGAAGCCACAGCACCTTCAGAAAGTATTCACACGCCTTTACTTTTTCCACATTTTGTTGTGTTACAAAGTGGAACAAAAATCCATTAAATTGTATTTTTTTTGGGGGGGGGGCATTTGTCAAATAAATTATGAAAAATAAAATTTTAATATATTTTGATTAGATACAGTGGCTTGCGAAAGTATTCACCTCTCTTGGCATTTTTACTATTTTGTTGCCTTACGACCTGGAATTTAAAATGGATTTTTGGGGGGTTTGTATCATTTGATTTACACAACATGCCTACCACTTTGAAGATGCAAAATATTGTTTTATTGTGAAACAAACAAGAAATAAGACAAAAATCAATTACTTGAGCGTGCATTACTATTCAACCCCCCAAAGTCAATACTTTGTAGAGCCACCTTTTGCAGCAATTACAGCTGCAAGTCTCTTGTGGTATGTCTCTATAGCTTGGCACATCTAGCCACTGGGAATTTTGCCCATTCTTCACGGCAAAACTGCTCCAGCTCCTTCAAGTTGGATGGTTCCGCTGGTGTACAGGAATCTTTAAGTCATACCACAGATTCTCAATTGGATTGAGGTCTAGGCTTTGACTAGGCCATTCCAAGACATTGAAATGTTTCCCCTTAAACCACTTGAGTGTTGCTTTAGCAGTATGCTTAGGGTCATTGTCCTGCTGGAAGGTGAACCTCTGTCCCAGTCTGAAATCTCTGGAAGACAAACAGGTTTCCCTCAAGAATTTCCCTGTATTTAGCGCCATCCATCATTCCTTCAGTTCTGACCAGTTTCCCAGTCCCTGCCGATGAAAAACATCCCCACAGCATGATGCTGCCACCACCATGCTTCACTGTGGGGATGGTGTTCTCGGGGTGATGAGGTGTTGGGTTTGCGCCAGACTTAGCGTTTTCCTTGATGGCTAAAAAGCTCAATTTTAGTCTCATCTGACCAGAGTACCTTCTACCATATGCTTGGGGAGTCTCCCACATGCCTTTTGGCGAACACCAAACGTGTTTGCTTATTTTTTTTCTATAAGCAATGGCTTTTTTCTGGCCACTCTTCCGTAAAGCCCAGCTCTGTAGAGTGTACGGCTTAAAGTGGTCCTATGGACATATACTCCAATCTCCGCTGTGGAGCTTTGCAGCTCCTTCAGGGTAATCTTTGGTCTCTTTGTTGCCTCTCTGATTAATGCCCTCCTTGCCTGGTCCGTGAGTTTTGGTGGGCGGCCCTCTCTTGGCAGGTTTGTTGTGGTGCCATATTCTTTCCATTTTTTAATAATGGATTTAATGGTGCTCTGTGGGATGTTAAAAGTTTCGGATATTTTTCTATAACCCAACCCTGATCTGTACTTTTTCACAACTTTGTCCCTGACCTGTTTGGAGAGCTCCTTGGTCTTCATGGTGCCGCTTGCTTGGTGGTGCCGCTTGCTTGGTGGTGTTGCAGACTCTGGGGCCTTTCAGAACAGGTGTATATATACACTGAGATCATGTGACAAATAAAGTTCACCTGTGTGCAATCTAACTAATTATGTGACTTTTGAAGGTAATTGGTTGCACCAGATCTTATTTAGGGGCTTCATAGCAAAGGGGGTTAATACATATGCACACACCACTTTTCCGTTATTTATTTTTTTGGATTTTTTGAAACAAGTTCTTTTAATTTTTTTATTATTCACCAATTTGGACTATTTTGTGTATGTCCATTACATGAAATCCAAATAAAAATCAATTACAGGTTGTAATGCAACAAAATAAAATAAAGAAAAACGCCAAGGGGGATGAATACTTTTGCAAGGCACTGTAAGTATTCAACCCCCTGAGTCAATGCATGTTAGAATCACCTTTGGCAGCGATTACAGCTGTGAGTCTTTCTGGGTAAGTCTCTAAGAGCTTTGTACACCTGTATTGGACAATATTTGTACATCATTCTTTAAAAAATTATTCAAGCTCTGTCAAGTTGGTTGTTGATCATTGCTATAAAGCCATTTGAAGTCTTGCCATAGATTTAAGCCGATGTAACTCAAAACTAACTAGGCCACTCAGGAAAATGTAATGTCGTCTTGGTAAGCAACTCCAGATAATATTTGGTCTTGTGTTTTAGGTTATTGTCCTACTGAAAGGTGAATTTGTCTCCCAGTGTCTGTTGGAAAGCAGACTGAACCAGGTTTTCCTCTAGGATTTTGCCTGTGCTTAGCTCTATTCCATTTATTGTTATCCTAAAAACCTCCTTAGTCCTTGCCGATTACAAGCATACCCATAACATGATGCAGCCACCACCATGCTTGAAAATAAGAAGAATGGTAATCAGTGATGTGTTGTGTTGGATTTGCCCCAAACAACACTTTGTATTCTGGACATAAAGTTTATTTCTTTGCCACATTTTTTGCTGTTTTACTTTAGTGCCTTATTGCAAACAGGATGCATGTTTTGGAATATTTTTATTCTGTATGTGTGGGGTACTGAGATGAGGTAGTTATTCAAAAACCATGTTAAGCACTTATTGCACACTGAGTCCATTCAATTTATTATGTGACTTGTTAAGCAAATTTTTACTCCTGAACTTATTTAAGCTTGCCATAACAAAGGGGTTGAATACTTATTGACTCAAGACATTTTAGCTTTTCATTTCCACTGACATTATGGGGTATTGTGTGTAGGACAGTGACAAAAAAATCTAGATTTAATCCATTTTAAATTCATGCTGTAACAACAAAATGTGGAAAAAGTCAAGGGGTGTGAATACTTTCTGAAGGCACTGTAAGACCTGCTTTCCTAGTACCTGCGTCAAAACAGCTGATGTTCTGACTGCCCTCCGAGTCCTTCAGGACAAACAGCACATCCATCACTTTGTCTTTGCTTGCATCCTCTATGGCCAGGAAATCATAGGTGGCTGTGATGGAGAGAAAGGAAGTACATTTAACCTTTTGGGTAAGGAAACAAACATTACATCTAGGGCTGTTTTCCCAGACACAGTTTAAGCCTGGTCATATACTAAAAAGCTATTTCAATTCAACTATTTAGAGACGTTTTAGTTCAGGACTAAGCTTAATCAGTGTCTGGGAAACCGGCCCATAGTGGAAAAAACACAAGCGTTAACACACTTCTTAACTTGCCTTCTCAGGTATAATGTGTTACTGTATCTCTTCCTCACCTGCTTGGGGGAAGGAGCGGTTCCAGAAGGTGAGGTATTGTGGCCGGACGGGACAGGGGATGATGAAAGAGAAGGCGAAGACTAGGATGAGGCAGAGGAAGAGGGAGAGGAAGAAGGCAGCCGTCCTCCAGTGGGACAACTTGGCCAGACCCAACTTCTTCTTGGTCTGAGCTGGTGGTGCTGCTCCACCACCCTCAACCTCCCTCTTCAGAGGGTCGGCTTCTGTGGCATGATCTGTTGGCTCCATCATCTCCTCAACAATGCATCACAGTCCAAACAGACCTAAACACAGAGCAGATGTGGTGTAGGGGTTAGAGGAACGGACACATACCTGCACCGCCCCTAGTTTTGACACAGTACCAAAGCTATTCAGGGCTGCCTGTGGGACTCCAACCATCTCACTCCAAACCTTTTCAAGTTTGCCTCCAGAAATTTCTGAACAGAACAATAATATGCTTAACCCATGACCTAACACGCACTGTTCATATCCTGAGGCAGAATTCCAGTGTTTCACTCTAGCTATTCACTCTGACTGCATATGGCTTTGGATTCACCACTTCCGTAAACAAATAACTATTTGGCTAAATTAATCATCCATAGCATGTACATTTAGCGAGTTCATTTCGTGATCCATTGAAAGCCTATAGGTGTGCATTGGTCAAGTTATCAAAACTCCTAGCTAGCTACCCGCTAACAGTTAACGTTGGCATAGCAAATCTGCCATAGCTACTGGCTACAAAACGTATTCGTCGGCATTCTCTCAGACAAGACTAGCTAGCTAGTAGTGTCACCATTCATTTTCCAGCTCATAAATAAAGAAGTCTCATTTATTTCAATTAGCGGGTTGAATTAATTATTTATCTTACTTTAGATGCTACTTCTGTCCGTGTCTTTGTCTGATCCAGAATTGTCAACACAACGTCACCTGCGTAAACCATTCACACGCCCCCTCTACGGGGAAAGTTACAACCGGATGCATCCAGTTTTCAGGAGAATTGGAAAGAGAGCCTGTCTTCTTCGGTGGGGTTTATCGGCGGTTGGCATCCAACATTATGGTGCATTACCGCCACCTACTGTACTGGAGTGTAGGCCAGAGACCGGGAGAAACTAAATCCTACCTGCCAGCCCCGTTGCTCTGAAAGAAAACAAAATATTTGAGACTATATATAATGACGTTCTACTCAATATACTCTTTAAACTAATTTCCTGTATCCCCTTTTCCCTCATACTATATCTCAGCCTCTCTCTTTCCCTCTGATACTGCCCACACTGTAGCAATACATGCTCCACGGTCTCTGTTTCCTAGAAATAATCACACTTTCCTGTTGGATGTTTTCCTATCACATTTAAGGTCTTATTCAACCGGCTGTGTCCCATCTTTAATCTTGTAAAAATAGCCTCCTCTCTTCTGTCCCTTCCTGCCGTCCTCTGTACTTGAAATAAATTGCTGCCCTTAGTCAAATCAAATGTATTTGTCACATGCGCCGAATACAACAGGTGTAGACCTTCCCGTAAAATGCTTACTTACAAGCCCTTAACCAACAATGCAGTAAACTAAATAGAGTTAAGAAAATATGTACTAAATAAAATAAAGTTATAAATAAAATAAAAAGTAACACAATAAAATAACAATAACGAGGCTATATACAGGGGGTAATGTGCGGGGGTACAGGTTAGTCGAGGTAATTTGCACATGTAGGTAGGATAAAAGTGACTATGCATAGATAATAAACAGCGAGTAAATAGTCCGGGTGGCCATTTGATTAATTGTTCAGCAGTCTTATGGCTTGGGGGTAGACGCTGTTAAGGAGCCTTTTTGACCTAGACTTGGCGCTCCGGTACTGCTTGCCATGAATCAGAGCAAATAACTACTCTGTCTGTCTTGACCTCCTCCACCCACTGCAAGGCCATCAGCTCCGCCATATATACAGCCAGATTATCAGTAATTTCGTTTCCTGACTGCCACCCCACATTCCTGCACTACAAATACTGACCCAGTACGTCCTGTCCTTGGATCTTTTGAACCATCTGTGTAAATGCCCATAAAATCCTGATACACAGTATCCAGACGTCTCTTAAACAAATCAGATGGATCAACACCCTCCCTATCTTTCTTTAATATCGCCAACACTTCTAGATCAACTACTGGAGGCGGGAGTAGCCATGGTGGATTTACAGGAATAGATAGAGAGCCTGTGACGAGTTTTCCGCTTTTGGAAGTTGAAGGTGAACTTCTTCCTCTTCTTCTATGGTATATTGGCGATCGCACAATTTAATGCGGGATGAAAATAGGATTCACAAAAATTTAACTAAATACCAAAAAAACTACCAAACTACCAATAAATAAATAAAATAAACTAAATCAAACAACCTTTCTGAACAGATCTGATCCCTAAACAGGCTCAAGAGGAACCTGGTAGGGTCAGTCTTCCAGCGCCAGTTCCCCTTGCAAGTCTTCAGATGTAAAATCCTTAAAGTCATCCAATTCGGAATTCCAACTCGGGAACTCGGGCCTCTTTCTAGAGGTCCAACTTTCCGACCTGAAGATCACTGACGTCATGATTTTACCTCTATTTTTCAGAGTTCCCAGTTGTTTTAAACACGGCAATACTGACAAAATAGCCTACATGTCTCGCCGCCCTAACAAAGGGAGTCCTTGCCCACAAAGTGGCACGGCCAGCTGTCTAGCTCCAGCCTATCCTTTCTTTGGATTGGTGTTTACATGTCATTATTGTAATCCTTTTTTGAATATTCGATCTGTACTTTACTTTACTATTTATATGTTTGACAACTTTACTTTTACTCCACCACATTCCTAAAGAAAATAATGTACTTTTTACAGCATACATTTTCATGTACATGTCCACCGGGAGTCCATCGATCCGGAAGACGTTCTGCACCATGAGCTGGGCAGTCTCTTTGGCAGAGGAATGAAATGGGCGGCATTGGAAAACCGGTCCACCACAGTAAGGATGACGGTGTTGCCATCAGACGGGGGGAGACCAGTGACGAAGTCCAGGGATACAGTACCAGTCAAAAGTTTGGACACACCTATTCATTCAAGGGTTTTTCTTTATTTTTATTATTTTCTACATTTTAGAATAATAGTGAAGACATCAAAACTATGAAATAGCACATATGGAATCATGTAGTAACCACTTATTTTTTTAAACAAATCAAAATATATTTTATATTTGAGATTCTTCAAATAGCCATTCTTTGCCTTGATGACAGCTTTGCAAACTCTTGGTATTCTGTCAACCAGCTTCATGAAGTAGTCACCTGGAATGCATTTCAATTAACAGGTGTGCCTTCTTAAAAGTTAATTTGTGGAATTTATTTCCTTCTTAATGTGTTTGAGCCAATCACTTGTGTTGTGACAAGGTACAGTGGGGAAAAAAAGTATTTAGTCAGCCACCAATTGTGCAAGTTCTCCCACTTAAAAAGATGAGAGAGGCCTGTAATTTTCATCATAGGTACACGTCAACTATGACAGACAAAATGAGGGAAAAAAATCCAGAAACTCACATTGTAGGATTTTTAATGAATTTATTTGCAAATTATGGTGGAAAATAAGTATTTGGTCAATAACAAAAGTTTCTCAATACTTTGTTATATACCTTTTGTTGGCAATGACACAGGTCAAACGTTTTCTGTAAGTCTTCACAAGGTTTTCACACACTGTTGCTGGTATTTTGGCCCATTCCTCCATGCAGATCTCCTCTAGAGCAGTGATGCTTTGGGGCTGTCGCTGGGCAACACAGACTTTCAACTCCCTCCAAAAATGTTCTATGGGGTTGAGATCTGGAAACTGGCTAGGCCACTCCAGGACCTTGAAATGCTTCTTACGAAGCCACTCCTTCGTTGCCCAGGCGGTGTGTTTGGGATCATTGTCATGCTGAAAGACCCAGTCACATTTCATCTTCAATGCCCTTGCTGATGGAAGGAGGTTTTCACTCAAAATCTCACGATACATGGCCCCATTCATTCTTTCCTTTACACGGATCAGTCGTCCTGGTCCCTTTGCAGAAAAACAGCCCCAAAGCATGATGTTTCCACCCCCATGCTTCACAGTAGGTATGGTGTTCTTTGGATGCAACTCAGCATTCTTTGTCCTCCAAACACGACGAGTTGAGTTTTTACCAAAAAGTTCTATTTTGGTTTCATCTGACCATATGACATTCTCCCAATCCTCTTCTGGATCATCCAAATGCACTCTAGCAAACTTCAGACAGGCCTGGACATGTACTGGCTTAAGCAGGGGGACACGTCTGGCACTGCAGGATTTGAGTCCCTGGCGGCGTAGTGTGTTACTGATGGTAGGCTTTGTTACTTTGGTCCCAGCTCTCTGCAGGTCATTCACTAGGTCCCCCCGTGTGGTTCTGGGATTTTTGCTCACCGTTCTTGTGATAATTTTGACCCCACGGGGTGAGATCTTGCGTGGAGCCCCAGATCGAGGGAGATTATCAGTGGTCTTGTATGTCTTCCATTTCCTAATAATTGCTCCCACAGTTGATTTCTTCAAACCAAGCTGCTTACCTATTGCAGATTCAGTCTTCCCAGCCTGGTGCAGGTCTACAATTTTGTTTCTGGTGTCCTTTGACAGCTCTTTGGTCTTGGCCATAGTGGAGTTTGGAGTGTGACTGTTTGAGGTTGTGGACAGGTGTCTTTTATACTGATAACAAGTTCAAACAGGTGCCATTAATACAGGTAACAAGTGGAGGACAGAGGAGCCTCTTAAAGAAGAAGTTACAGGTCTGTGAGAGCCAGAAATCTTGCTTGTTTGTAGGTGACCAAATACTTATTTTCCACCATAATTTGCAAATAAATTCATTAAAAATCCTACAATGTGATTTTCTGGAATTCAGGGCATTGTATGCAAAGGCCTATGGGCTTAGATGTCCACTGTATGATATTCATATTTAAAAAAATATATATAGCCTATATAAAGGAAGAGAAGCATAGGCCTAGCCCCAGAGAGATATGCCAGCGGCATGCTACAACACTGACATGCATTTATTTATGTCAGATATCTGCTGCACAGATATAGATGTACAGAAAGAGGTTAATTCATAAATGTTCTATCATAATGGTTTGTAAAAAGATAAGCATTATATTGTTAGATTATAGGAGTAACTTTGGTAGGCCTGAAACATTCTTCCGCACCTCAAGTTCAACTGTTGGAGTCAATTGGAGCACCAGTGCACACTGCCTTCATATCATAGGCTTCAGTAGCTAAAGCTTAATAAT